AAGACCAGCTTAGACCAGCGAAAACACTCAGGTTCCCATGTTAAAATTGACCTTGTGTCACAACCTGACTCAGTGGGAGGGATGGGGTCAAGTAAATATCTATACTTTTGTTTTATTGTTTTATTTGTTTTATTTATTTTATTGAATAAGTGTAATCCGAGTCACCATTTAAAAGCTTGTCGCACCCTCACTACCATCTGCAGAATACCCCGGATGTCGCGATACCTCGGTTGAAAATCATTGAGTTAAAGTAACAGAGTCGGAAATTGAAAGATTTCTTGTTAATGGTACCATCTTTAATTTTGCGATGAGCCATTATCATTTCAAAAGTTGTTTGGGATAAGATCTCAATAATTTTGATAACATTTTCTGTTTTCGTTTCCTCGAGGAAAAAGTATTCCACACTCCCCAGCTCTTTTCGTATTTATCACCTGATGATGACCGAAGAATGGATCGGCCGAAAACACGTAAAAATGTTGTTAATTAAAAACAAAAAAAAAAAAAACATTGTAATTTATGCGTTCAGTTTAAAAAGCGGACGCGCGTGTGTAGTGTTACAGTTAGCGACTCGGAGAGAAATTCGGCGAGCTGAGTTCGGATTCCGTCCGAGTTTGTAAAAAGTCACAAATATATTTGTTATGAAACCATTTCTCCCGCTCCCAGCTATAGATTAAATAGCTTAGGAGAAGGAAAACTCTGAATTAAAAAAAAAAACAAAAAAAAAAACAGTTTGACGAGGCATAAGCTCCGTCAGGTTGTGGTACACTCTCGATCCTAAAGGATTATGGGATTCGTGACGTAAATATATAAGTTTTCTGTGTGTGTTGATATGCAAGTATGCATATGTGTGTTAACAGTTTTGTTTAGAAAACTTGACTTAAGAGTGTTAACAAAATATGTTTTGCCAAAAAAAAAAAAAAATATGTCGATCAAGTATTTCTGTGGGGTAGCGCTTTTACGGCAAGCAGTCTTTGTAAGTAAAGTGCTCAACATGATAAAATACAGTATTAATTGCAAGAAAGAAAATAAAATATTCAGTCTCATCTTATCAACCCGGAGTTTCGAAAAAGTTATGACCCTTCAGTATATTAACAACTTACTTTAAATATAGTCATGCATTCTTATTTATAAGGGGAAAAACTTATATTTTATATATAATTATATTTTAAGCACGCACACACACACACACACACACACACACACATATCCAGTATGTGTGTGTGTGTCTATATATTTTTATATCGTTTTTTGTTTTTTGTTTTATATAAAAAAACAATGACGATTTAAAAAAATAATATGTAAAAAAAGTGAAAACATTACATAGTAAAATAGACTGTAAGTTTACTTACATCAAAACAACCACAATTTTAAATATTACGATAGTATTTAATAAATAAACAAAAATCCAGTTGACTCATTTGATTGCCCGACTCCAAAGTTTCGCCTTGGAACGCTCATAGCCGGATGCTCACTAAGTCGATATATGGATGAATGTTTCAAAGCGAAATTCTTGAAGTGGGCAATCAAATGAGTCAGTTGAAATTTGTTGCTTTATTGAATATTATAGCTCAAGTTATTACATAGAAGTTTATATATTATAGATGCGGATCCTCCTAGTAGAATTAACGGTTCAATGGGAGGAGAACATTGAAAGAGGCAGATGAGCCGCTATCAATCGCTGAGATCCAGCTGTATAGAAAAGGGGTAGACATACCATGTGCTACCTATTGAGGTCGATCGTTTCTTTTCTTTTGAAGGTGGGTATCACTGGCCGGTGCCTGAAGAGTGCTTCACTTCGTCTCCTGACCACAGCTTAGCAGACATCGAGTTGGATCTGGTCAAGATTAAAACCATGGTCGCAACACAATGCTACTTCCGACGTGAAAAACATCTGTTTACCTTCCATTTTACGTCATTAATAACGGTCGCTATGAGCGCGTAATGTTTTGCTAAACGATCAATAGCAAACGCTTTTAACGCAACGTTGAACATTTGACTTGCAATTGCATGAAAATCGCAGAGACTGGCACGTCTACACAGAAAAACAATAGCCTGTCCAGTGGCAAAAGCTGCCGGTGGCGCCAGGTGTGGCAGTACCACCTTAGCCACTGAAACTGTGTTACCTCCGCTAGTTGGTGGCTGACGAGGGCAGGGCATTGTACATGTTTTCACACGTTGTATGTAGAAAATTGAGCGCTATCTGACAAAAGTTTTTTTTTACCTGAAAAGTACGCCTAATTCTCTTAATGTTTACGTATTTTTTTTAGTTCTGCTATTGTTATTATTATTACGATAGTATAACTATAATAAAAACCCTTAGCAAATATTTACAGAAGTCAGATCTTATATAAAATAAAGCCTTCACAATATTAACAACTTACTTAAAATTAATTCACTGTATATTTCCGCGTATAAGACGACCTTTAGATAAGACGAAAATATAGCAAATTTTCATGAATTTATTCTATACCTGTAGTATATGACGACTGCTTATCAATTATATAAAGATGATGTTATTGGAAACGTTGTTAAAATAAAGAAAGAACAAAACTGGTTCTATATTAAGTTTTTCTTACCCACGTCCTCTAAAAGGAAAAAAAACAACATTTTTTTGATACCGTTTTCTATTTTGTGCTTCCTCGGGGAAAAGTATTCCATATGCCCCAACTCTTTCCATATTTATCACCTGATGATGGTTGAATAATGGATCGGCCGAAAACATGTAAAAATGTTGTTAATTAAAAAAATCCTGTAATTTATGCGTTTAGTTTAAAAAGTGGACGCATGGGTAGTGTAACGGTTAGCGATTCGGAGAGAGAATTCAGCGAGCTGAATTCGAATTCCGGCCGAGTATGCAAAGCTCACAAATATATTTGTTATGAAACCATTTCTCCCGCTCCCAGCTATAGATTTAAAAGTCTAGAAGAAGTAAAATTCTGAATTAAAAAAAATAGTTTGAAGAGGGATAGGCTCCGTCAGGTTGTGGTACACTCTCGATCCTAGTGAATTACGGGATTCATGACGTAATATGACAGTTTAAATATATCTCTTGCGAATACCGATTCTTCTTCTTCTAAACAGTTACAAACCACCTGGTGTACTAATGGCCATTTACTTATACTTAACGTATATTTGGTTTTGTTTATATTTCATCACGTGATCTCTTGCAAAAACCTATTCTTCTTCCTTTCCTATATCTAAACATTTACAAACCACCTGGTGTCATTTTTTTTTAAAATTCAGTCTGTTCTTAACTTCTGTCTAAGTCAGTTGAAATTTCTTATTAATTTATACGGATATCACCAGTAAAATGAAGGAAGCTTAAATCGAGATTTATATTGAAAGTTATTAAAATAGCCAAGGAATGGAACAACTGTGCTGTTGCTAGAAAAAAAAACAAAAAAAAACAGACTCGATGTTTACATTTTCTCAGCCCATTTGAATGGATACAAGTTGATTTCATTGATATGAAATTATTCTTCGAATAGGCAATTTATTATGAAGTTATACCAGTAATATAAAAGGTAGAAATGTTTTTATTACTTTTATTATCCCTTTATTTGATAATGTGAATATTTTCATGTACGTTAATGATTACCGTACGGAGGCCGAGGTTAACCTACCGACAAACATCACTTAAAATTTAAGGTTTCTTTTTTAGAATTGTAGTATTAGACGACTTCCAATTTTTAAGGGTGATTTTTGGGATTTAAAGGTCGTCTTATACGCGGAAATATACTTCTTTTTAGATATATAATTTTCCACTGTACAACCCCTCTCCAGAGATAAGTAGCCACTCGTAACTCTATCGATATTTTCATGTCAAATGTCCAGACGAACGACATTCAGTATTTCTACGAGTTCAGATTTCACACCTAAGATTTCTTTTTTGGAATTATAGCATAAAACGACTCACAATTTTTAAGGGGGGTTTGGGTGATTGAAAGGTCGCCTTATACGTAGAAATGTATGGTACTTATTTTTTTTTAAACATTCTTATCCATAACGGAAACAAATCATACAAAAATTATCTCATATGTGTAACTGATCGATTTCAAATTAGAGAAAGTTATGCAATAAGGTCTTTAATAAAAGAACAAATTTAAAATTAGTTAACATAAAATGTTGACACCTTTTAAGAGAAATTTATTCTAATCAATTCAACCCAAGCAAGGCGATAATCCCACTAAGATGCAAGGGGCTACTAGGAATGAAAGCGAATGAAAAGACTTTGAAATGGACCGAAGACCTGATTTTAAACAAGAAATTAGGGATAAACCTCTACACCTGTTCAAAAATCGCGGGGTGGGAGAGTAGTGTAAACCAGACGATATATGATAACTGCAAATAAATTCAATTTTTGTCTCCTGAATATTTGATAATATATCTATGAAACTCCGAGTCAGAAAGATAAGTTTGAACATTTAATTTTATTCGTTAAAATCTTGACTTATCGGACAAAAATATCTAAAGTGTATAATATTTTAAGCATTATGCGTTATGGCATCTCTTTATATATTACTCTGTGTGTGTGTATCATATGTCTGTTGAGTTTATGTGCATATGTGAGTATTTATCTGTCTGTATGTGCATATGGACATATGTTAATATAGTTAAGCTTATTAAAGTGTCATCTGTTTTTGACAAATATTGAGGCTCTGTCAGTTTTGTGAAAATACCCTTGGGTTACTATTAATAGCGCCTTGTAATTAGTAATTGCTTGGGAGCTTTCATTATAGGTAAATGATTTAATTGTTTATACATACATACATATACACACACCCATATATATATATATATATATGGGTATGTGTATGTGTCTATGAAAAAAATATTTCTTTTTTTTTTTTTAATATGCAAGATAATCGTGTTTACTGTAGGTGTGGTCAGGTGCAAATTTATCTTTTGCTGAGAGAGAGAGAGAGAGAGAGGGGGGGAGAGAATATTAAGAGGCGTGGTAAAGAAGGGTTACAGATAAAAAGAGAAAATGCATAGATAGATCAAGAGAGAGGGGTTGGCGGAGAAGACATATAAATAGATAATGAACATAGTGGGATAGATAGGAGGCGGGGATAGATAGATAGATAGATAGATAAAGAACGAAAGGAAGATAAGAGAGAAGAGACTATAGGTGTAAGGAAGAGAGAGGGGGAGGAGGAGGAGGAGGAGGAAGTCAGATATAAAAGAATTGAAAGAAAAGGAGAGTAAGTGGTGGAGAATACGGATGAATAGAACAGCCTGGGATAGAAAGAAAGAAAGAAAGAAAGAAAGAAAGAAAGAAAGAAAGAAAGAAAGAAAGAAAGGTCTTAGATATAGGGAAAAGAGAGAAGGAATAAATAATGAGATAAAAGAATAGGATGGATATATATATATATATATATATATATATATATATATATATATATATATATATATAGAGAGAGAGAGAGAGAGCAAATGAGATATAGATAGATAACTTATCTCAATCAGCTGAGATAGATGAATGCCAATGAAAAAGAAAGAAATATGAGTGTGCGATAGATAGATAGATAGATAGATAGATAGATAGATAGATAGATAAAATCGACAGATAGATAGAATCGACGATATTTCCATACAAAGAAGAGGCAGAGGAAAATGCAGGTGAGAGATATTGATGACAGTCTCAATTGTTTCATTTTTTCCTTCATTTTATTTTTTTTATCGTTGCTCGTTCTTTAATTAAAATTGAATGACTCTTGTGACCGCCATCTTTGTCATTTGACTACGATGTTTCACACGCCAAGGACCATTGGCTCAAATTGCGATGTTTAATCAACGTACTGAAGCCTTTCGGTGTTTCCTGGCATACTATTGTTTTCAGTTGCTGGGCGCGAGATTTTCTTTTCATATATTCCACATGAAACACGGCCTGCAAGTAGACATTTGAAAATATTCAATTCGCTTTCAACAAACGTGATTTTCACGCACACACACAAAAAAATAAAATGAAATAAAATAAAATAAAACAAAAGACATCTCCATCTTGTATAAGGAAAGAGAAAACGCAATTTTATTTGTTTCTGACGATTGAAAATTAATGCGTTCATGTAGCCTACGTATCGTAGTTGTATTGACCAAAGCACGAACCGGAAGTTAACACTTCCGTCACTAAAGGGTAAATGACTAAAAATGTGTTTCTGCGCAGCTGGATCACGCAGAGTTTCCGTTTGAAAAGAAAAATAAATCAAAATATATTCCAGCTAATGAAATCACTTCCCGCTAAAAACAAAACCCCACAATCCTCTACAATACAATTTTACTATACAATCAGGAGATGAACCACTTAATATTGCCGTATTTGACATCATATAAAACGCAGTTAACAGAAATGGTTAAAATTCGCCTTTCGTCTTATATACAAAGTTGACTGATTTGTTTTTTACGACTTATCAACACATTACAGGTTCTTTGAATCCTGAAAAATATTTTTGGATTGTAATCATCTTTTTAGATAATAATGTTTTATCGATGCAAGTTTTACTAATTAACCCATAATTGAGGGAGAAGGGTGGATTCAAACCTTTGCCAATAGTATTTGCGCCTAAGTGAATACAACGATTCCATCAGGAATTGAAACTGGCTCTCCAATTAACAATTCCTAGCCATAATCCATTACATCACCCGTATATCAAGCTTTCACCGCCTGGTGTTCCCAAGCAGTCACTCATCTAGGTACTGACCAGGCTCAGCATTGCTTAACAACTTCAGTGGTGAATTGTTAAGACAAAAAATTAATGTGAATTTTTTTGTAAATGTGCATGAAACGCGCCCTGTTAATTCAAAAATTGACGTTATCTAAGGGAGGTAACTTACTTTATATATATATATATATATATATATATATATATATATATATTTTCACTTAAAAAATGATAAAGTATTTTAAAATATTGCTGTTATAATTGTAATTTAAAAAAAAATACAATTTAGGTATTTTAAAACCTTAATGTTATAGACATTTTAAAACATCCCTGAAGATGATCTTGATGAGATTGAAAGTATTTGGGAAAATACTTGGGAAAATGAAATGAAAAAACTACGTAACTCTTGAATTTTTTTTTTTTTTTTTTAAAAACAAGCGTTTCACTGCAAAGAAAGCTGACCGGGAATTGGTAGAAATGTAAAATGACATTATTATATAAATGATATATACATTTTAATATGTTGTTGCTATATTCGTAATAAATTTTGTTGGTTATTGTATGATTGATTTTGATATAATAGACCTCGAGAATTTGAAGTCTTTGTTTTAATTTTTCGTGGTGTACTCTATTGGTGTTGTCAACAAGTATTTTCCTGTATTGTGAAGGTGGACAGGAATATGCTTTTAGATGTTGTGCAATAGAACTTGTATTCAACAAATTAAGTGTAAGACATCTTGATAATGTTGTTATCAATCCAAAATATGTACTTACTATTTTTGTCAGAAATACAATCTCCCAAAGGACATTTCAACTGATATACAGTTTTATTTTCTTTCTCCAAGACACTAGTTGATGAAGAAGAGTTATTGCTCATGATTTAGTTTGGCTGAGTTAAATTTAGTATAATATATGATAAGTTTTATTCTTTTACTGGGATCAGTGGGGAATATATTAGTACTTATGAGACTTTTTAGGACTTTTTCATCTCTTTTATAGTTAGAATGTTACGTATATCTGAACAAGTTTGGGGTAACGAGTGTAGATCAAAATAACGACCCAGTAGTTTCGTCCGCAATCACCCCACACCGAGGTATCTATACATATGTTTGTGTACACACATTTTTTAATGATATTCCCTTCAGGACGTAAGCGATCATGGCTCTCCACATAATTCATTTCTTTATTATCTATAAGTTGACATGACATGGGAAAAAGAGTAGAGTGGCTTTCTTCGCGGTTTGAAATTTAGGGTTACTTTCTCATCGTCTGGTTGCCACACAAGACTAGAGAGCACAGTATACCCTATTATTTAATGAATAGCTTGGAGAATGGGTATATGTGGGTTCATGCCTTTTGCTGAAATGAACACAGTAGGTTAGAATTCTGCACCGTTAACCGCTACATTGCCCGCACATCTCATTCATCTTATATATAAAGTGCAGTATATGTGTGTGTGTTTGTGCGCGTGTATGTCTAAGCAACTCCTCTGCTCCCACTTTCAATGATTCATAGCCCATTCAAAAGCCTTAGAAAAGTTAGGTGCAGGGAACGATTTTCGTTGAGCTCAGATTCAGGGTTACCAGATTATGCGAGGTTAAAAATATATATTAATATATTATATTCCATAATAAAGGTTTTACTTAATTAGCTATTATGTTTCTCTAACTCTTCAAATGTGGAATGTATAACTAATTCTAATTTCTATTTTCCCATCTTTACACTATATTAATTTTATCTTATAAATTGTCCCCTGTTCTATCACCCAAGGAAATAAAAATTGTTTGTACGGAAAATAAGGATCTACGTACATCAAATCGTCTTTAATTTAAGTGGCAGCAGAAGAATTATCGTTGAACTTTTAAAAGGTATACTTAAACATTAATTCAATATTTAAATGCAGCGACCAATTTTGAGTTCTATAGTTTATTGATGCCTATCACATCTACTCCTCCCTAGCTATTGTGATAATGGCCAAACCAAGAGTCCTCTAGAGGAGCTAGCTTAAATACCGCCCCGTAGGGCAGCTTTTAAGCTAGTCAATTATAAAAAGGTCTCGTTACTGTCATTTTCTCTCTTGACTGTCAAATCTAAACGATGAGAAGGCTCATTTCTAACTTCTCCACTCATTGCGAAGGGAAAAGATTTTTCGACCTGTACACGAGTCATTGGACAAATTCACGCTTTAACATTGGGTTTTTGCTAAAGTGGCATCCGGTAAATAGAACGTTTGCTATAATTGTCTGCGTAACTAGATTGCTTACGATTGCTCAACCTAAGTGTAGATATATGCTCCGTTAGGTTAGTCTGGTACAAGGCTAGATTAGGTGAGCTTTGATTTAACTCACTAGACTCTAAAATGGTTTGTGAAAAGAGCTCACTTTATTTTTTTTTATTCTAAACAAGATGTCAACTCATTTAGAATTTGAGTCCGTGTTGTAGATAAGTTTAAACATAAGTTATCTCCCTTAACTGTTTCACTCGTATTTACTGTGTCCAGTCTCCATGTTTCCTGTGAAGGAAAAGAAATTTCGTGAGCAAGACAGTATACGCGGGTGAACTTGTACTAAAAAACTGTAACCAGAAATTATTTTCCATATTCCTATATATTAAGCACTTTAGATCACGAAAAATAAATTTATTAAATTTTATAAAAGTTGTTAAGAGGGTCCGGTTTGCTTTGGTAAATTCACTATCAATTGATAAATTTACCTATTGTCTGCTTCACATTCTTCTAATAATGGCATCCCAAATTTAATCTAATTGGCACTGGATTCGTTATATTCACTTACATACAAATACCCTTGGGAAATATATGAATCCAACTCTTCTCCCCAGCTATGGGTTAATTAGTAAAACGTATATCACTAAAATCATTAGTATCTCCAAAAAATAAAATTGCATACAAAATATTTAGATTTCGGTAAAATAACCCACAGAGGTGTTGATATGCCGCTAAACAAAAACAATTACATGCTATGTGATTTAAAATTTAAAAAGAAAAAAATATGATATAGGTAAACTGCACTTTTCTTTTCATATATTATTAACGTTTAACCACATTAGATTACAAATTAAAAAACAAAACAAAAAAAAAAACAAATAATTAAGAAATCACATGGTATGATTATTGTTTTGGCTTCCGTACAATGAATTTATATAGCAAACCGTACCCTTCCTATTTAGGGTGCTTAATCTAGAGCAGGAGTCACCAAACCTTTTTCACAGAGGGCCAGATAATTGAGAGAATGACGAGCGCGGGCCGGATAACCATTTTCTTCATTACAATAAACTGAATGCACAAAAAATAAAGACATGCTTATTTACTAAAAAGTTATCCAAGAAGGCGACAATAGCAATAAAATAATTATATCATACGTACTGCGCATGTCCGAATTTTACAGACAAAGCAGCATAAAAGGTTAGTAAGATTTGTAAAACTGGTATTTACCTTTTAAGATATAATTAATATTTGTTTTGGTATTGCTGCATCCAACCATGAGAATTGCTTTTAAATGTTCATCAGTCAACCTCGTTACATGTGCTGACTTCAGTATCTGTCTATATTTCTGAGATGAGGCATTATGTACACTATTTACATTATTCGGACTATTGTAATAAATATGGCGACAAAGGTGAGGACAATAGTCCGAACAATGTGCTGACTTTATATACTTTAGATTTTATAATAAATTCAGGCAAATCATATGACATAATTCGCTGAAGTCAGTCCTTTTTATATAAGGCACTCTTCTCCTTGGTAACAAAGAAAAGAATACTGGGCTATTACGTGATATCAGTCCTTCTTTAGGGGAGCGAATGTTGTACGATTTCCTCAAAGATGAAGAAGAGACTCGAGGCGACGGAGATGTGGTTCAACAGAAGGATGCTAAGGATATCATGGACCGAGCATGTGAGCAAAGATGAGGTCTTAGAGAGGATGCAAATAAGGAGGGGGCTTATATTTAACATCAGGAAGAGACAGCGAATGTTGGACGATTTCCTCAAAGATGAAGAAGAGACACGAGGCGACGGAGATGTGGTTCTACAGAAGGATGCTAAGGATATAATGGACCGAGCGTGTGAGCAACGATGAGGTATTAGAGAGGATGCAAATAAGGAGGGGGGCTTATACTTAACATCAGGAAGAGACAGCGAATGTTGGACGATTTCCTCAAAGATGAAGAAGAGACTCGAGGCGACGGAGATGTGGTTTTACAGAAGGATG